TTGGTTAAACAGTTGGTGGTTTTTAAAGTATTCCTCTGTTAAGTTGACTGGGGTTCTTCTGCACTTGAGTTCTTTTCAATTGTTTCTATGTGGGGGTGAAATGTCTACTTGTTCGCATGACAATTCTTTAGCCAGTATACTGTAACAGATTGTGCTCCCTTAACTCTTTCCAGTAATCAAAACATTTCTGATCTTATAAAAGGTGCCGCTATCGAGGTGCCTTTGGTTTTTGACTTGGAAATACCAGGAAAAAGCATTGATCTATAAAATAGATAATGCTGACAATCATGTTGTTATGAGTTATGCTGATAAAGTGAATCAACATAATGTGAACTTGTAAAGTTAAAATATATGGTGTGGAAAAGCTATTTTATCCCCAATTTCCACTATTTGTCTGTCTACGGTAGTTGCCAAACCTAGACTTGTGTTCTTTATTATGGAGATTTTGAACAAGATAGTCGCAAAACCCAGATTTCCCTTCTATGTTTTATTTTATTTTTACTATTTAACTCATACATAGTATATTCAGCTTTGCTTTAATCAAAATAAGTGTTATTTTTGTATTTTGTGATTGATATGCCAATGCTTTTAATACTTTGTTTCTCATATTGCAGGAAGCAGAATCAGCAACCCTTGAAGCAATATCTAGGTCAAAGCTGGGAAATGTATGAAAGTTTTTTGTGATTCATATGTTAGGGAAATTCCCAAGTTTTATGAACATGTATGTTTGATTTGAGTCATTGCTAGTGGATTACATCATGTGTGTTCTTTGGTTAATGGTTACTGCAAAAGTTTTGCAGTTATTATTCTCTTTTCTCTACATGCACGGGTTAATAATAATAATAATAATAATAATAATAATCATAATAAGAGGGAGGAAGAGGATGGATTATTAATGTCTTACACCTCTATTTTTTTATTATTATTATTATTTTTTTTTTTCCTTTCTTCCCTCTTTGTCTACTATTTCTTTTGGGACAATTTAGATCACACTTCAAATCAGTCAATTACAGTAGATGTTCTTTGTTGAGTTAAGTCTAGATAGCTGGTGAGTGTTGCACTGGGATTTTGATTTGTGAAGAGGAAAGTAAAGATGTAAGGGTTCCTGGATAAGTTCACTTAATACTTTGATGTATATCCTTGCTTAGTTGCTTTTAAATCATAGGATTGTCAATGAGTGGCACCTCCTTGAGTCTACTACTTATCTAGGACTAGGAATATTTGTAGGAGAAGGTTAGTTGTATTTCGTTTTCTTTTTTCTTCTCAAATTGAGATATAGCTCCGAAAAGATTGTGGAATATGATTCTTTCTTTTCCCTATTTGTATGTCTTACTGGTTTTTCTTCGTGTAAATTTGTACTTATAAAAGCTTTAGGTAGTTCCGTCCATTGTTTATCAATATATATGCGATGATTATAATAATCTTACGATTGTTTTGCAGCCATCAGCTGGAAATTCTTGGCTTGGTTCAATAATAGCTACAATTATTGGAAACCTAAAGATTTCTATTAGCAATGTCCATATCAGATACGAAGATTCTGTGAGGTTGGTTTATATCTTGAAGTAATTATATTCCCTATTAGTTGTTTAATTACTTTATTCACTAGATGCTAACTCCCCTCATTTAATCTATAAATTTACTCACTGTTTCCTGAAGTATTCAAGCCTCTTTTTTATTGTACTGTTTATTCAGCAATCCAGGACACCCATTTTGTTGTGGCGTCACCCTTTCAAAGCTTGCCGCGGTTACCATGGATGAGCAGGGAAACGAAACCTTCGACACAAGTGGTGCTTTAGATAAGCTGCGCAAGGTCTGCTTCTAGTCTGATTCATTTCCTCCTCCCCACCCCTCCTCCTCCTGTCTCTCTCTCTCTCTCTCTCTCTCTCTCTATATATATATATATATATATATATATATATATATCTTCCCATGTGTGCGCGTGCGTGTGCGCATAAGTATTCAATTGGGGAGAGGAATTGGGGCATTGATTCCTAACCTGTGTGTGAAATATAGCACAACAATATGCTATATGAACATGGAACGAAGTAGGTGTGTTTTACTTGTGAATTGTGAGTCATAGACGAAGTTAGATAATTGATGGCAGTTTTGAATTTAGCAGAATCCTATCTTGAAATTACCACTTATCTCTGCAGTTATGAGCTTTGAAATGTAAGACAACATTGGAGAATGGACCAGACTCCTTTCATTTAAGTTTCATGTTAGGTGTATGCAGACAGAAAAATTGGACTGATTTTTCGTTTTTTGTGTGTTTCTGTTCTGTTATAGTCATTGCAACTTGAAAGGCTTGCGATGTATCATGATTCCAATCGTGATCCCTGGAAGTTGGACAAGAAATGGGAGGATCTTAGCCCTCGGGAATGGATTGAGGTTCATTTTGTACTATGTTCTTATCCTTTTAAAATATGTCTGTCGTCTTTGGTATGAACATAGTAATACTTCTCATTTTAGTGCCTAATTTTATTTGTTTCTTGTTTATTAGATTTTTGAAGACGGGATTAATGAATCTTCAAAAGGCAACATTTCAATGTCCCGTTGGGCTCAAGACAGGAATTATGTAGTTTCACCGATAAATGGAGTTCTTAAGTACCATCGTCTGGGAAATCAGGAAAGAAATGATTCCAGTGTTCCATTTGAGAAGGCTTCTGTTGTCATCAGTGATGTTTCTTTGACAATTTCTGAGGTATTCGTCATGTCTGTAATTACTTTCTATTTTTCCTTCTTTCGTTCATTGTTTTTCTTTATTATTATTAGTTTTTTTTATTTAATTTTTATTTGTTTCTGATTTGATCATAAATTGGAAGTATGGTGCAGTAAGATTTAGGGTATGTTTGGTTAATCTAGCTTATAGCTTATAGCTTATAAGTGAATTTCGAACTTATAGCTGATATTTTATGATGGATGCCTGAAAAACTAGTTCATATATTGAAAATGTTTGATAAAATTAATTATTAAAAATCTCAATTGGCTTTTTTTTTTTTATTTTTTTTTGAAAAATTACCAAGAGAAGCTTATTAGATAAGCTCCAATTGTTTAAAAAAGCTCTTTCTACTAAACCAAGCTTATTTGAATACAAAAAACTAGAAGCTAACTAAATAAGCTATATGCTAGCTTATGGTGCTTACCAAACCCACTCTTAGCTTAGGTTACGTTTAACATTCTGTAAATCTCTTATCCACCATTTGTCACTTTTCTTAAAAAGGTATCTGTTTCTTAAAAATAGGAAAAAATAAAATTCTATTTGTATTTCTTATAGATTTATGTTTTTCTAGATCATGTTATGTTCTTGAGCAAGATGTTCTGAATTTGAGACATCTTAAGATGTTGACACATGGTTGTTATGGCAAGCCATGCTGAAATGGTAAGAGGTATTATAAGTATTTGTTATAAACACTCATTTATATATTCAAGCAGTAGATTTCTCGACCATACTGTTTTGGTTAATGTGCACTGTTACATTCTCTTGTATTTCTTTTGACTCAGTGGATAGATTTCATATCCCCCATACTTGGTCTTGAAGATTTTACTCCAATCTTAAAAGCGCATTCTCATATTGCGTCATACTTGGTTATGAAGATTTAGCTCCAATCTTAAAGACACGTTCGTGTGACTTATTTGAAGCTTCTGTTTATTTGAATAAGGAGCTATCATTTTGACAAAATTTTCCTCATTTCAGGCTCAGTATCATGATTGGATTAAACTAATGGAGGTCATATCCACGTATCGAACATATGTTGAAGTCTCTCATTTGAGACCCATGGTCCCAGTATCAGATGGGGCTGCATTGTGGTGGCGTTATGCTGCTCAAGCTGGATTGCAGCAGAAGAAGATGTGGTAAGCTTGATCAATAAAGTAAATGCTGCTAAATGGATAGCTATTTAAAAGTCATGGTCTACACTTGAGATTGAGTATATACAAAATTACACTTGAGATTGAGTATATACAAAATTCCAGCATATTGGGAATGCTTAAGAGGAACTAGTTAAATAGACTAGATACGTAAAAGGCAACTGTAGAATTTTGGAACCATTTTGACTAGGACTTTGCCAGAATCTCAACTTTTTGTAGGTGTCTTCCGGAGAAGTGATTCAGACATCTATTATAACGATAATTGTAATTTTAAAGCCAAGTCCATTTTTGAAGCGCTCCCAAACTTGTTAAAAAAAAAAGGGAAAAATGCATATGTAATCTAAGTATGTATTTAATGGTTTGATTTGCGTGTAAATATTCAAAAATTTATTTGATTCATATTTGTTTTATCGAATACCATTTGAAATTTGTAGATACTGGTTAATCATTTTTTCACTGTTCTATCGCATGGTTACAATAGATAATGATTCCCACCTTCATGTTATCACCTGATCCAGTTTCTTGTTTCCCTAAAAGTTGTCTTCATCTTGTGTCCTGGCAGTTATAGATTCTCTTGGGAGCAAATCCAGAATTTTTGTCATCTTCGAAGGCGATATGTGCAGTTATATGTTGATTTCTTGCAGCGAGTAAATGTAGATATTTCAAAAATAAGAGACATTGAGAAAGACCTTGATCCTAAAGTTATTCTTTTATGGAGGTATGAGCCAGACTTTATTAATGTCTGTTTATTTTACCCTTTTATTTAGAACAAAATGATAAGAAAATGATGAAAATATAAATTTTTTCCTGCATATCCAAATCCTTTTACCATCTCTTGACATATATTGTTAGGATTGCCATTCCACCTCATAGTTTTGCTACATTAGTTCGGCTTGTGGACTGCGATGTTGAGTCTTATTTGTGACTTGTGTTTGGGTTCCATTTCCCTTTTTTTTATGCTTCTATTTATTTTATCTAAAATATTAATGATATTTTATTTAGATTTCTCGCTCATGCAAAGATTGAATCAGTAAAATCAAAAGAAGCAGCAGAACAGAGGATGCTTAGAAAAGGAAGCTGGCTCTCTTTAAGATGGTTGGTACAGTTGAGCTATATCAAAATTTTCATCTACTTACAATATCACCTCACTTCTCACTTTCTTTGGGTTTTATTGGAGTTTTCCTTGTCTTCTTCATGTCTTGTGAATCTTAGTGATCATATGCGGTGTACAAAAGTATATCAAGCCATTTAATTGAAATGAGATCATGTACATAAAATCTTTTTTATGTGCATCACTTATGACATTTCGAGTTTAATTAAACATTTTGTTTGCTGATTGTCAAAAGGTGCTTTTCCTATTTATTGTCGTTGCAAACAGGCGAAGCACTTCTGAAGATGACTCTGGAGTTGACACTTCAAGTGCATCTCGGTCTGTTGAGGAGAGATTGACCAAAGAAGAATGGGAGGCAGTCAATAAACTGCTAAGCTACCAGCCAGACGAGGATTTAGCTCATACTGCAAAAGACATGCAGAACATGATACATTATATGATTATTGTTTCCATCAGTAAGGCAGCAGCCAGGATTGTCAATATCAATAACACTGAGATTGTTTGTGGTACATTTGAAAATCTGAATGTTGCTACTAAGTGTAAACATCGGAGCACCCATTGTGATGTGACGTTGCAATACTATGGATTGTCTTCACCTGAAGGATCTCTTGCCCAGGTGTGTTCTGTCTGTCGAGTCATTCTTTTTCTGTTTCTAATCAATAGGGTTTATCATTAACAAAGATTCTGAGGTTCCTGTAAGTAAATGGTTTTGGTATCCCTAGGATTTTCTTCTCTTTATGCCTGCTTCAGTAGTATATCTATAATATTGGCGTCTGAATGACCTAGGAAATCTGATTTTTATTTACTGTTTGAAGCTCTAGAAATTGCTCATCACTTCATATTCGTTAATTATGTTGAATTTCAAGGATATGTTTCGTTTAATATATTATCTAATCTTAAAGAATCTTTAACCTTTTACTTGGGGTCATGCTCTTTAACCTTTTACTTGGGATCATGCTTGGAGTTTGAAATATTAGCCGAATGGACTTTTGGACGCAGAGTGTCTCAAATGAGCAGAAGGTCAATGCTTTGCAAGCCAGTTTTGTGCATTCCCCAGCAGGAGAAAATGTAGATTGGAGACTTTCCGCAACAATATCTCCTTGTCATGTCACGGTATTCAGCTACAGATTTCATCTTTCAGTTATCGATTTTATGATCTCATTTGATATTGATACTTACTGCAATAGATGGAAGCTTTTAAACTTTTCCCTGCTATCAGAGTTTCAGTAAAATTGCTTTGGGTTAAATTGTTAGTTGAAGAAAGGGTGAATTTGGGCAAAGCTTGTACTGCTGATTATAATTTATTATGAGTTGCTATGATTTGAGGGACAAAGCATTTATTAGTGACTGCTGTCTTAAATTCGCCAGGCCTTCAGTGAGCAATTAATTAACAAAAATCCATTTGAAGAATAAAAAAAGAAAGTTTAAGAAAATTCTTGATTGTTGAGTTTCTCACGAAAAATTGAACCCATTTATATGATGAAGGCTTAATCCCATTATTGTTAACTATTTCTCTCCCCTGCATTGTACAGTTTATCGCAGAAAGTTACGAGCGCTTTTTACAGTTTGTGAAGAGGAGTACTGCTGTTAGTCCTACTGTTGCGTTGGAAACTGCAACTGCGTTGCAGGTTTGCTTATCTAAAATTCTTAGATCTTTCTTCCAGAAGCCTATCCCTTATAGACAGATTATATAGCATACTATTCACTAGTTGAAGCTAACCTTGAGCTATCACTATGATGGACAGCATAAAATTGAAGTGGTGACACGAAGAGCTCAGGAGCAGTTTCAAATGGTCTTAGAAGAACAAAGCAGGTTTATGTCACATGTTTCGCACATAGAGTTGTCATGCTTCTGAATTTTCTTGAATTTGCTTATATATATTTATACCGAAATGATGGATACTCGTGGTGAGCCATCTGTTAAGATTGTTGTGTCGCTTGGCTTTCAGGGGGGACCTTTATCTTATTAATTATTATTATTTTGATCCCATCAGGTTTGCTCTTGACATTGATCTTGATGCTCCCAAAGTCATAGTTCCTATAAGATCCTGTACCTCTTTTGAAGGTGACAGCCATCTTCTGTTAGATTTTGGTCATTTCACTTTACAAACGAAGGTACGTGATTTCTATTCATTTTTCTAGATGTGCTCATATGCCACATTAAGGGTGTGATTGTTTATAAATTCAACTAGTTTTTATTTGATTTGGTTTTAACTATAGTTAATTTTGAAAAAAAAATGGTATGGTTAGTTGTTAGTGGATATATTAAATTAATATTTAAATAAAATAATTAAAGTTGATTTGATGTAAAGTAGGAGAAAAATGATTGGAAGTGATGGTTAGTTAAAATTATGTGAGTGAATGAATAGTGAATTATAGTTGATGTGATGTGTAAGAATGATTGGTTGTATTATTTAATTATATTAATAAAATTGGAGATAGTGTGTTGAGTTAAAGTTGAGTTAAATTTGAGTTTTGATTGATTTTTTTACTATTGAAATAATATCCAATCGCCCCCTAAGTTCTGTAAACTTATTCTATCTTTTCTACAGGAGGATGGTCAGCTTGATGACCACGAGCACAGTCTGTACACCCGTTGTCATATATCAGGAAGGGATATTGCGGCATTCTTTACTGATTGTGATTCTATGAGTAAATCCTTCAATTGGGGAGCTCAACCTTCCATTTCTCCTTGTTCTGACGATGCTGACAAATTCTATTCTCTGATCGATAGGTGTGGAATGGCTGTAATTGTTGACCAGGTATACCTTTAAAATGATTTTCTCAAAATTATTTTACGTATTTTGTCTTAATAGCTGTTGTATTAATGTACATTGTTTGACCTCGAAGATTAAAGTACCACATCCGAATCATCCATCCACACGCATTGCTGTGCAAATCCCAAGCATTGGCATACATTTCTCGCCAAGCAGATATTCCAGGTTCAATGAATTGTTGAATTTACTCAGTGGTGCAATGCCTAATGATGATCAAACAGTTGAAAGCCTCCCAAATGGTCTTCTCCCCTGGAATCCTCCATATTTGACTACAGAGGCGAGATTTCTAGTTTGGAAGGTATGCTAATAACTTTAACTAATTTACTTTTCTGTGTTTGTGCTGCTGCTCTAAGTCCTTTTTAACCATTATGCAGGGAATAGGCTATTCTGTTGCTGCATGGCAACCCTGTTTTCTTGTCTTATCTGGATTATATCTTTATGTTCTGGAATCTGAAACTTCTCAAAGCTATCGGTGCTCAAGGTCTACCATATCTCATGCTGGTTCTTTTTGTTAATTGCTTTACAGTATATTCTT